TATGGCAGCGAGTACCCTCGCGTGCCGGTCTTCCTTCCTTCCTTCCTTCCTTCAACCATGCACTCATAGATAGGGTACTTCTGACCTTCCAGAAAGCTCCGAGTTTGGTTCCACGTCCAGTACTGACACGTCCAGGGCCATTCTATGCTCCAAGCATGTACAAACGGCACCAAGCAAAGACGTAACTTCACCACGCGCAACACAAGCCTGCAATGCCGAGGCAAAGGCGGTCGCTCCTTTCTCGAACTTGGGAAGAGTGAACTCGACCAAACCAATGGTCTTCATGTGCTTCATGGTCGTATGGATATCGAGGTTCTTGGTGTGTAGATCCGCAGGATTGTGTTCACCCTTGATCGAGTCCACCAAGATATTTCCCATTTGTACTTCAGACTGCACAAAGCATGAACGGAGCTCTACGTGCCTGAGCTTCCTGAGCCCATCCATCTTGCTTATGTTTACCGCAGCCTCGGAATCACAAAAGATCTGGGGTTTCAAGCTTACAAGGTTGTCGAAGATGTGTCCTATAGCGCATCTCACGCCCAGTGCTTCCTTCGATCCCTCGACCAAAGCGTATAATTCACTCTCGGCGGAAGACAAAGCCACAGCTTGTTGGAGCCTGCTCCAGCTCTTTATGCATGCCATGCCCAACATGATGCATCCGCCGGATATCGACCGGCGCGAAACGGACCGCTCCGATCCCCAAGACGCATCAACAAACGCGCAAAGCCGCAACTCGTCCTTCGACTGTCGGGGAAACAACTGGTAGTACCCGGCGACGGTCTTCAAGTATCTCAGCGTTGCACGCATGGCCTTCTCGTGCACCTGTAACGGGCTTGCCTGTCCGCGTGACAGCATGCTCACCCAGTACGGCATATCGGCCCTTGTTGTTGCCAACCATGCCAACTTCCCAAGAGCTCGCCGGTATCTGCTTGCTGCTTCTGGACTCAGCGTGCTTGTTCAGTGGGATCGTCAATCGCCTTGTCGAACATGTCTCGGAGACTGGGTGGAGTAGGCTGCGGCTTCGCGTTCTCCAGCTGATACTCTCCAAGAACGTCCGCGATGTAGGACTCATCCATCCCAAAATGGATATCGCCTCCCACCTCGGTTCTCACTATGTTTCGCCCTAGGAACACGATCTTCTTGTCCTTGTCCAACTCCGCCGTCACTTTCAGCTTCAGCTCACCTCGCAGGCGTCCTATCATCTCGTGCATCACCTGATCCGAGCTGCAGGTGATCAGGATATCGTCGACGTAGGCCAAGATGAGCACCTTGTGCTGCTTGTATGTGCCTGCGAAGAGGCATGCCTCCGTTTCACACGGGGTCATGTTGAACATTTTCTTGAGTAGGCGTGACAGATGACGAGTCCAGTGCAATGAGGCCGATCTCAACCCATAAAGGGCTTTCCTCAGTCTCATGAAAAGAAGCTCGCCATTCAGTCCTCTGCAACCATCTGGTAGCATGATTATGATCTCTTCTCCGATCAACTCCGCAAACAAGAATGCGGTTGATACGTCTAGGCCTAGGATGTTGTTTCCTACAGCTCCAGCGTAGGCCAAGAAGATCTTTAGGGCCTCCGCGCTTGCTGTGGGGGAACTTAATCCAAGTTGAGCCGCAGAGAGGCCTGCGGCAAAGTCTCTTGCCACCACTCTGCAGCGTACCAGACGTTTTTCCTTTCCATCTACTCGTTCGCGTTTGTCTGCCACCACCCAACGTGTAGAGATCACTCTCTTCTTTGGCGGCAGTTCACTCTCGGAAATCAGATCACCAACGGACAGTGATTCCAGAGCTGCCAACTCGCGAAGCATTCCGGCGTATGTCTCCTCTAAGTCAAGCGACACTTCCGTCACGTCGTCTCGTGACCCAGACGGCTTGGAGACTCTCACCTGTCCTCCTCCCAGAGTGACAACTTCTTCGCCGCCAGGTGAAGTAGCAGCGAACACTGCCTCGCGTTCCCCAACTCGGCTCGCGATTTCCATCGTTGCGTCTTCAGGTGCATGCTCAAGCGGTTCTGATTCAACAGCCATCAAGTCTTCTTCAGCCACCACGTAGTCCTCCAGAGGTCTCTCTTCCGTGTCCTCGCAGCTTCCCCGGGCTCGTAGTCGGGTTCTGCTTCTGACAGACCTCCTCCGGATACATCTCCGGGCAGCTCCAACTCTGGCACATCCTCACCGGCCAACGCACGCTCAACTAGGTCACCATGTTCAACAGTGTCACGCTCAACTTCACGCTCAACGTCTTCACCAAACTCAATGTCACCAACGCCTGCGCCGTCATCATGTTGCGCAGCCTCATCCGTCAACACATATGTTCCGGAATCAAACTGTTCACGCACAAACTTCGCACACCTAGCTCTGCATCTCTCAGTGTGTCGCAGGGTGCTCTCGATCACCCCCTTTGGCAATCTCGCTCGGCATGCCCTGCATTTTGGTGTGGGTCCATACTTTTCAATCCACTCAGGCGTGGGTCCACGGAGGTTGGTGTCTGGCAGTGGTAGGTGCTTGAGTTGATCTACAGGCAGCAGGAAGTATTTTGAACACCCCCTTCACCAGACCCATCTCAAATCTCATTGGGACCACCATGTGAACCTTTGGCGATCTCATCACCCTGAGCTGGCCGTCGTTGGTCTGAACGCGCACCCAATGCGACCCTGATCCGACTTCAGGTCCAAGATACGCTCCCTTCACCATTCTTCCGGTCACTCGGTTCCGCAACGATGGTGGCGGTACAGCCAAGACGGTGGCGCCAAACACATACATCGGGTGTGGGGCGATGGCCTTCTGTCTAAATCTTTGTTCGGGCGTCAAACCGCTGCCGTCTTCTAGCGAATACCTATTGTGTGCTGTAGCAACATGAGACAACAGATAGGGCATTGCTGGTCCACACACGCTCAAACCTGCCTTTTCCAACTGCACCAACTGCACATTCGCAAGCTCTCTCACGGTCCTAATGCCTCGTTCTGCAGATGGAGTGTGCCGATCCACTGGCACTTTCTCGATCGATGCCGCGGGAAGCTCCTTTGCGCAGTCCTGCAAGAAAGAAATCAAGGCTGGTTCACCATCTGAACGCAAACTGATTACAACAGGCTCCGACCCAAACATGCCGACAGACCTAAACCACTTGACTGCACTCACACGCACGCTGTCGGTTCCAGGGTTCCAAGGTATCACGCCCAAGCAAAAGCACGACACAAGCACAAGCGCAACATACCATGCTCCACGCACAAACATCTTGTCTGCCTGCACTTCCCTTCTCGGTGCCTCTGCTGGGTCCCGCTTCCGAGCTGGTTTTTGCGAGCGAGCACGACGGCACTCCTCACAAGACGAGTTGTAGGGAACATGAGAACGCAAGACATGTTCATTCCGTGCATTCTTCCAGTCAAGCTCAGACAACACCTCGGAGTCGCCAGCAAGCCACCAAGCTCCTACTTCTCCTAATGTCCTAATGCTTCACGCTCAACTTCACCTAAAGAACCACGCTCAACTCGCTCTCCCTCTCCCTCAACTCCAACAACCAACTCACGCTCAACTCCTGCCAACCCAGGTTCCGCACACACATGTTTCTGCTTTGACCGCTGCGGCTCTGTCACTTGTTCGTTACCACGCTCCAGGAAGACGCAGAAGAACGTGGTGTCTCCGGCTCCTGAGGAGGCATCGGAGCTGTCGTCGCGCCTTTGCTTCCCGGGGCTGGTGTTGGAGGTGCTGGCGGTGCTGGTAAACGTGATGCTCTTCCCCGCTGTTGATCTCCCTGGGTAAGGTAGACCGTGCCCGCCTCCAACGGGGGGGGGCACCTTCGGCGGCGTCGGCGGTGGCCTTGAGGTACTTGTCACCGTCACCCGATCCTTGGTGACCATCACGGCGCTGTTCTCGATCTGGAACTCCTTCTGGTCGACCGCCATGGGCTTCATCAAATTCGCGACGCAGTTGGCCTCCATGACGGCGTAGTGGTGGTGGTCCAGGTGGTCCCTCAACGTGAGTATGGGGAGGCTCCTCACTTCCTTTCTGCTCAGCGGGATCTCTCTCTGGACGGTCTGGGTGTGGGGTTTCGGCATGGCCTTGGTGCGGATCACTGTCTTCTTCTTGGGCATCGCCTTGGTGCGGATCACCGTCTTCTTCTTGGGCATTGCCTTGGTCTTCGGCCCACTGCTGGCGCTGGCCGCGCTTGCCCCTCCACGATACTGCTGCCAGTGCGTTCGAAACTGGAACCTACCGTTGCGAACCTTGGCCTCACCGGGTTTAAAATTTACGTTCCACCCTTTCTGCGACAACAAACCAAGACTCAACAGGGAGAACTGTACCGGCGCCAAGAGGGCCACAAACTCTACACATGCTACCTCTTCACGAGTTGCTTTCGAAGGCTCCAAGAAAAACATCGCTCGTACACGATTAACCTTTCGACGAACTTCTATGAGAGCTCCAGTAGCAGTGACACAGTGTGGGCCTTCTGCACTAAGTTCTTCCACCACTTGAACATGACCGTCTCGCACCAGACTCTCTGCAAGCAAATGCACACTCGCTCCTGAGTCCACGAGGAAGAAGAGGCCATCGTCGGTGCTCCTTTGTGAGAATGCCATGGCGTGCTGCGGACACATGAGGGCATGATGTGTTGCTACTCCTATGCTCTCAACGCCTTCACGCTCAAGCTGACCGACGACATCTGTGGAACTACTGTCCTTGCTCTCCAAGATAATGCAACTTCCAACGCCTTCACGCTCAAGCTGACCGACGACATCTGCGGAACTACTGTTCTTGCTGCTGTCCATGCATGCTATGCTTGTGTCTGACAACTCACGCTCATGCCCATGCTCTCAGCTTCTCCAACACGCACGTCCCGCACAAAGCTTTCCCATTCTTGGTCACTCAACTCAAGCGAACACTCCGAATGACCATCTTCCGAGTCGTCAGCGTCCATCGCAAACACGGCCGCCGCAATGACCTGTGGCTCTAGCAAAGCTCCTGCCACATTCGGCTTTGTGCCTCCCTGATTGGAAGGCTTCTGAGACCAATCTTTCGCATAATGTCCGGTCTGGTGGCAAGTAAAACACTTTCTCGCCTTCTTCAGCTCTTCTTTCTTGGCGTCATTCTGAGTTGCACCCTCCCTTTCCGTCTCCTTTCCGACCTTTCTTCCAATCCCCTTTTCCCTGGGGGAATTGAAGCGGGTTGGCATGATCTCCCTTTCCCTTTTCAGCAAACGTCAGAATCTTCACATTGGAATCGTAAAACTTGATCGCACGCTCAAGCTCTTCCATGGAATCTATCTTTGCATGCAACAGGACGTACCTTTTCACTTCGACGTCAAGGCACTTAAGGACAATCATGCTCTTGTCTGCTTCCGACAACGCAAGGTCAGGGAACGAACGACACCAGGCGACTATACTTGGCAAGTTCCACCTGGACGTTTCGATAGGCATCCAAAGGACGATCTTTGGTGACTTTGGGTGGTTGGTACCTGAGGATCTCTTCTCGCAGTGAGGAGGCTTCAATCCTGGAGCAAACTGACAGGTCCTGATGGAGACGCCGCAAAGCCTCGTACCCTGCTGGCGCACCCAACCCAACTGCTCACGCTCAACTTGCTTCAGGATATCCAGACCACGTGGGAAATTCGCAAAGGACTGACGCAGGTACAGAAACACTCTCGTACTTCGCACGCTCTCACCTTTGTTCAAGTCCTTGTTCTGGATTTGTTTCTCTTTCACAATGCATTGCTGGACTTCCGATGGGATGCGGTCATCAAACAAGGCGATCCAAGGCAGAAAAACTTCCAAGTACTCAACCCACGCTTCGATTTCCGAACGCCTGCCTTTCGACATGCGTGAACCATCTAGCATGGGAAGTTTCGGTACATAACTCTCCGCCTTTGGATTCCTGATGGGCGCTCCATCGTCAACTTCCATCGCATGGTCGGCACTGCTGCTCAAACTGCTGATGCTCACGAGACATCATTTGAGATATCTGCTGTTGTTGCTGCTGCTGCATGTGCTGCTGCTGTTGCTGCACCGTCTGCACCAAAACGTGCGACTCCAAAGCTGCTTGCGCTGCTGCAGTGTCGAGTTGCGGCTGCTGTCCTCCCAAGCCCGGCGGTGTCATCAGAGGTGGCTGCAACGGTGTGGACTCCTGGCGAGGCACTTCCAACGCTTCCCTGTGGCAACACGGGGCTTGCTCCAGCTGCTCCCTGTGCCGACAGGTTCGACATGGGACTAAAGGCAGCACTTCTACCGACCAAGGGCAAGACTGGCAACGCACGTGGTCTGTCTGGTCTTCCATAGGGAGGTTCCTGGGACTGCCTCCGACTTCTTCGCACCATTCCATCAGGTCCTTCTTCCCCGATGTTGTAGTACGACGGACGTCCACGCTCAACCATGGCCACAGACTCTCACGCCACGCACTTGCCAACTTTCACTTGTTGCGTATTGGGCTCCTTTTCTCAGCAAACCACGTAAAAGACCACAAGTGCAAGTAACCCTTCACAGTCACACAGCTCACAGGCACTCCAAACACTTCTTTCAGCTTTCTCGCACTGAAACACGACTCCGGTCTTGAGCCAAACAACATGCGTTTGCATGTGGGGCTTCCTAGGTCAAACACTGGGCTTTAAACTTTAAACACTCTCCAAAACTGAAGCTGCATAGTCGCAGACAGCTCACACAACTCAAATGCCACTCAAGGTGCTTGCACAGGGGTTGAGTTTTGTCCCTGCCTCAACCCCGCCTAAGGGCAGGAGACAATCTAGGGATGACGAGCGTTTCAGTGGACGTGTCACCCCGGTTTGGATGATGAAGGGTTCCAGCTTGTGCAGCGGAGGAAGAGTGGGCCTAGTCGGGCACTACCCTCTTTTACACAGTCGGAACCTGGTTTTTCCAACAGCTATCTCCATTTGGGAGGCCCTGCAGATGATAGTGAAGGACTGCAGGAGAGCTCTACATTGTCATCGGCGGCTCCGCGTGCCACTGCAGTCAACGAAGGGGATGCTACGGTTTCTTCAAGAGTTTTCCATTCAAGCTTGCTCTCTTGGTTCTGGGACCGGAAAAGTTGGAACCAGCTCCGCTTTGCCATTTGCAGATGCATCCCAGTGGGTCCAACCCGACCAAGGGTTTCTCGCTCTCTCGTCCTTGCACGCCTGAGTAACCACAACTGTGCAGGCTAGCCTGCTTCTCAGGCCCCGAATGCCACCCAACAAATACCATTCTCCAACCAATGAAGAGGACACAGTTGCTCTCGTGTCGCACTCGAGGCGACACTAGATGAAGGCAGCTTGGAGCACTGGGTGTGTCACCGCCTGTTCCAAACCTTGGAAGCTGAAGATGTGACCAAGGAAGCATGGTGTGAACCTGCAAGCGGTGAAGGAGGTGACCAGTGGTTCTGTTTCGACCCGCGAAGTACATCTCCTCACTGCCAATGTCACCTCATGGAGACGAGAAGTGGCTACTTGGTTGTTTGAACAGGCGCCGGATGTTGCAGCCATCCAGGAGACCCACTTGACTGCAGACGGTCTGTGAACTGAGACCATCCAGGCAGCCAAGACAGGCTACCAGCTATTTGCCGGGCAAGGTCAAGGGACTGGTGCTTTGGAGGATTTGGCATCCTGGTCAAAAGTCATCTTGCGGCCAGATTGATGGACTCCGTTGACTCTAGGGGTGTAGGATGGGTTGCAATCTCCATCAGATTGCATGGCCGAGACATTATACCTTTGTCTCTTTTTATCTGTCTGCAATTCTGCAGGAACTCCGCCAACACTCGCGCAGGCAGGGCAACAGGGTGACCACTGCACTGGGAGATGTCGAGATCATAGCCGCGGACAATTCCACTGGCAGGGCGGCCCTCCGATTGCTCCAACAGGAAGGAGACGGGGAAGGCACAGCCCCGAACCCGGCGGCTGATGCGGCCCCGGTCCCTCCTAGCACAACGGGGCCGTCCATCTCCTCCCTGGCGCCAGGTGCAACCACGCCCGATGAGGAACCCACAGCGACGCTCACGCCGGAGCAGATCCAGCGTATTCATACCAACAGGGCGGCTGCTCTTGCCACTCGTGCGGAGCGCCAATCCCAACGGATGTTGTCCATGACAAGCCCGGGAGTGGTCCTATCCAAGACAAGCCCTCCCGTGGCCCTGGGCAACCTCTTCCTCGCGCCTGAGACTGATGTGCACAAGGAGTGCATCTGTTGCAGGCAACGGCTACTACCCCTGGAACAAATGGTCCGTTTGGTGTGTCTCCACGAGGTGCATGCTCAGTGTTTCTACACATGGCAGGAGGCAGAAGAATCCCGCGAAACAGGACGTGTTCGGTGCCCAGAATGCAACATAGTGCTCCACCATACCGGTGCAGGGAGTGAAGACACGCCAGTGAGCCGCTAGACAGTCCCCGCTGACCCATGATGCCGTGAAGAGTAGGCGCCGCCGTGCGCCAAGTTTTGTCCTTGTAATTGTTTGTTCATTTAGCTTCAGGGTGGTCTTCCTGTGGCATCGCCGCCACTCCTCACCTACCAGTCGCTGCTGTCACACATACGTGTAGCCGACTGGTACTGGTGTGCCCTCTTTGACTCTTTGACTCCACACTCCGGGCCTTTTGTCCCGCAACAGGTGTAAAGGAGTCGGGAGAACGCTGTACTTTTGCAGACACCCCATTTTGTTACGGGGATCACCGCCCCTATGGAGCACCAAAATCCTTGCCTGCAAGCGAGGACTTCACGATTATAGGGTTGCTGTTTTGAGATATCCAGCTGTGGAGCCAACGTCGCATTGCGTGCTGACACCTCTGTCGTAGCCCGTGCCCCATAATTAGAGCTTACTCGTCTGCCCCGTCGCCATGGCCGAGTCTTCCGCGCCAAGCAGCGACAGCGATGACGAGGACTCTCCACTGGTAGGCCACTGCCGTTCCAACATACATGTGGGCAAAAGACGGAACCTGCGTATAGCAGGCAGCTGCATTGGTGACGATGTTAAGTGGATAGGCAACAAGGTCACCCGGGTGGTCTCGCTACAGGCTGGAGGAGTTGGCAGAGACAAACTACAGTGGGCCAGATACTGGGCGGAATGCGCGGCAGAGCTCGGAGCTGACATCTTTGTCCTTTCAGAGACCCGCGTTGGGACTGACGCCGGTCACGCACAGGCGGTGGCGGGCATGAGGGAGTGGGGGTACTCTGCGATTTCCCATAATGTTACCTGTGACCCCACCCCACTCGGGCAGTTGGCGCACTCCACCCATCTGCCTCCGGCGTTCTCTTAGCTGTACGAAGCGACTACGTCGGAAAATGGACCCAGGTAGACAAGGACCAGGATGGCCGTGCAGTCGCCGGAACCCTTCTGCTGCAAGACGGGTCTACCTTGCGTGTGGTGGGAGTCTATGGCCCAACTGGTGCCACTACTCCAAACTTTGACCAAGACCCCTGGGGCCTCGAGCAGGAACACAGACTCAAGGAATTCCTCGAACTGCAGAAAGATATATCCACGCACGCGGTCAGCCTTCTCATTGTTGCGGGAGACCTCAACAGCTATACCTCCCCGGAACTGGACCGATGGGGTGGGCCCAGACATCTCAGGACCGGGAGCGTAGCGATGAAGCTTCAGGATCTGGGACTGCAAGATTGCTTCCGGGCCCGCCACCCGGAACTGAGGGCCTACACCTTCTACACCAGACAAGACACCGCAAGCCGATTGGACCATATTTGGATCTTGGGAAGCGTCGGTGGGGGCAGCCGTCTCCTGAACGCCTCCATAATTTGGCGCTGGCTGCGCCGAACAGATCACGATCCGGTGGTGGTGGACATCCAGCAATCCCTTCCCACTATCCCATCCCCTGGCTCTTCGGAGGCGGGAGGGAACTGGCGTAGGCTGGTGAGAGCCTCTCTTGGGCCAGACGCGTGTAGCCTACAACGTAATATTGAAGAGGCGATGATGCCCCACCGCAGCACCCTATCCAAGGCCATGGCTGACGTGCGGAATGCTTCCCGCCTGGCCCTATCTGACACTGGTGGACCCTCCTCCCCCCTTCACCAAATGGCTGAACCCGCCGGGCTCCCGGACGCACGGAGCCCTGCCCTGAGATGCGCCCTCACTCATGCAAGTAAACTCCTTACTCAGTGCATGCAGAACAGCCTACCCACACTGGCAAATGGGACTGATTACAAGGCCCGCCGAGCCAGAACTTCGTGGGACGCGGTGTTGCAGCAGCTTCGACAGCTACGACATCTGCTCAGTCAAGCCGACCCCGGCCCCGCCCTCCCAGGTCAACTCAAGGAATCCCTTGATCGAGCCAATTCCCTTTGGAAAAGCTGCCAGCAACTTACAGACGCACTTCGCCACAACACCCCGAGCGAGGCCACCAAGACTGCCCGTGTGCGACTAGGAGACTGGGATCTCCACGACTCCTCCCCACATGTGTGGGCAGATGGCCTGGTGGGCGTTGCCCCTGAGGCCCTTGCCCAATGGACACCTAACACGACCTCACGATGCTCACGATCTTCTGCTTCATTGTCCCCGTTGCCGACGCTTGAATGGCGCTGCGCGCCGGTGTGCAGACGCTCCAGAACCGAGGCTTTGCAACAGGTTAGGGAATGGTCCACCGCGGCGAGATCGTCGCAAACCGAATGCCAGCGTCAACAATCCAAGGAATTGGGGCTTGAACGCAGACGCTCCCTGCACCAGTCCGACTTGAAGACTTGGGCGCGCTTTTTACGTAAGCCGCAGGAGCAACTAGAGTACGCTCCGGAGTGGTTTGAAAAAGAGGGCAGGAAGCGCCGTCCCTCTTCGGCCAAGGAGGCCCTGGAAGGAGCGGCCCAGGAATGGCAGCGCCTCTTTAACTCACCTGCCAACCCCTGGTCCCACCCGTGCTTCAAGGAATGGCGCGACCTGGCTGGCAATCGACGTGGCTCATTGAACTTCCAGTGCCTTGCCGACAGCCTTATGAGCGACGCGCTCGCGCCAATGGCCCGTGCTATCCTAGAACCAGGGCCATGGCGTCTTATTCGTTGGAGGGGCGCTGACCTGCGCTTCCTGTCCCAGCGCTCCGTGGCTCTGAACGGGTGGATCGTCTCCCACACAGACGGAACTTGGCGCCTATGCCGCCCAGGACCCTGCGCTGGACAAAGCCTGGACATCAAATGTATCGGTAAGTTCCCGCCCGCGGAATGGACTATGGACCACTTCTGGACTCACCGTCAACGGGATCTCGAACTTTTCTTTGTCGCACTGGCGCCCAATCAGTTTGCAGACATTAGTGTGCTTCAGCCCACCAGCGATGCCGAGCGACAGTACTGGGCCCGCAAGATGCGTTGGTCGCGACCCGGGAGATCGGGCCTCAAACTGGCCTTCCTCCCTCTCTTCCCCCAGTGGATCCGTGACCTTTTCTGGGAACTGCTGGACACGCAGAGGCAACTGGCTTTGGTGACAGAGGACAACAAAAGAGCCCTCCAAATCAACCTACCCAAATCCACAGGCGGATGGCGACCACTCACAATGATGGAGGAGAGCTTCAAAGCCATTGAAGGCCCAGTTACGTCTCGACTCTCGGCTGGCCGCGCCAGGCTCCCCCTTGGCGATTTTTATAGCTTGACAAACCTGGCATATGAAAGGCGACAGTCCGCCACAGCTGACGTATTATATACCGATTGCATTGTCACGGAAGATGCCATGCGCACTGGTGCCCCTTTTGTTCGAATCCCATCCGACTACGAAAAGTTCTTTAACTCTGTGGAATTTGTGGAAATTGACGCCATGCAGCTGGCCCGGGGAACACCTGACATGGCGCGCAGGTTTTTTACGGATGCTTTCCAAGGCATTTCGGTGGCCATCCAAACCCGTTGGGGAGAAACCCCGGATGTGGAGTACCAAAGGGGAGTGCCACAGGGCACCATCTCCTCACCCGAACTTTCCAAACCAGCACAGGAGCCAATTCTTCGGATGCGCGAGGCTAGCACGGCCCAGTACCAGACCAGACATGGCGCCCGCGCTGGAGTGACGGCGTACGCAGACGACGCTCAACACTATGGGGCAGGAGTGCGTCAGCTCCCACGGATCCTTCGGGAACTGGGCCATGGTAGTCTGGTCTCCGCAGTCGGCTTCAGTTGGCCAAAATTTTCAGTCTACGCCTCGGACTATGATGACATGGTGGAGACGCCGTGGGCCCTGGAGCATGGTGTCGAGACGGATGGCGTCGCAGTTACGGGCTATGACATCTGGACAGGCCGGGAGATCATCGCTAAGCTGCCGCGCTCGCATGCAGACCAGGGAGAGAAGTTGCTGGGCAAGCGGGGCACCATCTCCGACAAGCACACCCTTGCGGCGCAAGATACACTGGACAAGCTGGTACGCTTAAGACACAAGTTGAGCTTTCTTATGTGCGAGTGGGATGAAATTGCAATGGCTTTCCAACTCATTGGACGTGGCATCCTGTCCTACGCCCCGCTCATTGGTATACCTGCCCCACAGTCCCTACATGATCAGGATACCGAACTCCAGCTTCTGATACTGGCGCGACTCCAAGTCCGGTCTACTGCTGAACGCATGAGTCTGTTGGCGCCGCGCGGAATTGGGGGGGTCCAGCTCCCCTCCATGGTCGAGAGCATGGTGTCAGCCGTCGCTTCTGACCTCTTGACCACCCTCAACGGCTGCACTCAAGCCAGCTCCCTGGCTCGCGCGGAGCTTCGAGAAGCCATGTCACTTCCTTCTGCGCAGGTGTCCCAGTACTCGGGAATTCTCGCCAACTCTCTCCGATTCCTAGCCGGCTACGGATTCTACCTGACTGTCTCCACCGACCGGCTGGTCTCACGGGTACTTGACCAACTGCGACTTGCTGCGGGATCCCCGGCTGCGCAGATGGTGGGAGGTATGGATGCGGATGGACACCGACGCGGCGCGGTATACTGCAGAGTAGGGCCTCTCGCTAACGCTGTCCGTCGTGTCATCAGTTGGCTGCGCGCAGAGCGCCCTAGAACGGAGTGGGACTCAGAGGCACTTTGGTTTATCTGGCGTCACGCCTGGACAATGCGCTTCTGCATTGCGAACAGCCATGACGCGATCTGCGGAGGATTGGGCCGTGGAGTGCCAGCTCCATCACCGATCCCCCCGGGACGACCTGTTCCCTGATGAGGATTGGCGCTCAGAGGCGTGGACGCGGCCTTGGGCCGCCCATGTAGACGATCGCAGCGGGTTCCTTGATGCCCGCGTACCTCCCGGCCCCGCTGACCTCGACTTTGCGCTCTACGGGGATGGAGGGCACCAGGCATCTGGACGCACCACCTTTTCATGTCAGGCGCGATCTTTTGGTTCTGGCGATGCTTATTTCTCGTCGACGGCCTCCCTGACAGCCCAGGTGAAAGGTAAACTCCCTCGGCGTTACGGGTATGAGCACACGGGTATTCATGAAGCTGAGTTACTGGCCATGCTGGCATCCCTCCGATGGAGGCTCCCAAACACTTGGAATCTTGTCGTGGTAGATTGCAGTTCTCTGGGCAGTGCACTACGCGTAACATGCGACGGTCAAGCCACTGATCTCCTCTCCCATTGTGGAATACCCATGCTTGCCCGGCTATGCCGGATCATGCTGGAACTCAAGGCGTCCTGGACTGGAAAGTCGCCAGAGCCGGCCTGGAAACTCCACCAAAGCAGATTCCCACAAGATTGGAATCTCCAGCTTGCGGGCAAATGGATGTGCCGGATCATGTTCTCTGGGCCCGGGCTGGTCGGATTGGATGTCAAGTCACACCAGCTGCATACCAACTACCCTAATCCGGTCGTGGTTAAGGGCAATGAAGTACAGGACTCTGGCTGCAATGACTGTTTCCACATGCCCTGTCCCCGAGATGTGGATTACCCCACTGGTGGTCTTTTGCTTTTGTGGTCTTGGACGGGCGCAGAGTCGGCTCCCCCATCCGTGCAACCACCCGTCAGCTCCTCCGAACTCAGGCTGCAGCAGAGTGGAGACTGCGCAAAGTGCAGGGCAAACTCGCCATGCAAGCCGAGGAAGCATTCAGCCCTGCCTTGGACATGAGGTTCTTTGTTCGGGCTGAAGTCCCGTCCCGTTTTGCGCGCTGGCTCCTACCTGAGGATGCGGACAGAAACACAATCGATCTTTCTCGCATGCTGTACCGCTGCCACAGAGCCATTGGGGGCTCCTGGACGGAACAACTCAAGACGGATGTCAGCTTGGCCAGATTGGCCCAAGCATGGGCACACACCCACCGTCAGTCCTCCCCGAGACTGTGCCCACTTTGCGTCCAAGAAGCAGGCACCCCTCGGCATGCAATCATGACCTGTGAGGCTCTTCGCCCCCTGTCGGACAAACTGAGGTCGGACATGGAGCTTCTTTTGGTCAGTGTGGCGGGGAGGGAGCACCTTATACAGGCAGCTGATGCATGGCGAGACAAATGCACAGGCACTTGATACCCCCGCCGTCTGCCGAGGACCTGGACCGATGGCCCATATTGGCAGCCTGGCGGTGGATGGTTGAGCTCCCGGCTCGCCACGCCCTCCTCAGTCAGGACACTGGTGGCCATAGTGCTGCAGCCGTGTCGCATGAGCATGCCTGGGACATGGGCTACAGAGCAGTTCTGCCCACTCCCACCCTCCCACCATTCCCCCCGAAGACTTTGCCGTATGGAGACAGCCAGACCTCGCCAATTCGGAAGCAGACGCCGCCCCCACGTTACAGCGTAAGGTGGAGCCCGCGCTGAAGGTAGTCACCTTGCTACTCCTCGGATTGCGTCGTCTTCGAGCCGAATGCGCCAAGCGCATCAAATCTTGGAAGGAGCTCCAACTTATTGCGGAGCAGCAGCTGCTGCCTGTTCAGATCCCGCCCGCACCTCCCCCTGGGGCCGCAGATCAACGCGCGCCCACAGTGCTGGATGGCTGGATAGCTTCCGACAATGCTCAACAGACCCTACGAGAACTCCGATGGAAGGCGCCCAGCCCGTCAGTTCTTCTTGCTCGATTACGTGCCGAAGTTCCGGCGTGCCGGCTCTCTGAAGAGCGTGCTGTGCTACGCATGGCCTCAGCCGGCGTTCCCGTTACAACATCCGGCCACATCTCTTGGGGTGGCGTCTGGCCATCGCTCACAGACCTGTACTCTGCATTGCACACCCTTTGTCATTGTGATACAGAACCGCCCCTTGCAATCGCTGGCTGCTGGACCTGCGGGGAATTCAGCTGCCCAGGGCTCCCCTCCCACGTGCATGTCTTTGGTGCAAAACCCAAGCAGCGTATTCCCTGCCGGAACTGTGGTCAAATGATACACGAGATCAGGACTTGCACATGGAACCGCGGAGCCAACCCCCTGTACGCCTCCTCCGCGGTCGGAGCTCCTACACTGTGCCCGGACTGCGTTTGGGTCCTGCGAGAGGCGATACTAAACATGCCGCGCCCTCCTGCTGCACCAGCTACCGAGCCGGGTTTGCTAGACCACCTACAAGCGGCTGCCAATGCGGTGTGCCCAGGCGCGGGAGCCAACACCTTCCTGGCTAACACAGGGAACAGACAGCGGGTGCGTCGCTGGTGTCTCCGCCACTTGACGCTCGGCTGGACCGCCTACCGCATCATCTTGAGCGAGGCGCGGGCGCACTTTACAGGCGTGGAAACTCCCGACCCCCTCCTCCGGGCTGCCCTCGATTACTGGTGCCGGCGTGAGGCCGCGCAACAATGCTGCCTACATGGTGTCCTGCACTTCCGCCTGCGACCGGAGACGTAGTCGCAGCCATAAGAAAAGCAGTGCTGCGCGCAGGATGAGATGTCCTCCTGGCCCACAGCCCAGAGTTACACCATTGCATACCTACTTCAGACTCGATAAGAGGCGCCAGGCTACAGCTACGAGCCCCCCCGTACGGAGAAGCACCATTTTGTTACGGACTACAGGCCCTTGTTGAGACCGCTCTTGGCCCCAAGCCAGAGAAACAAATTCGGTAGTGGACATCCGCCCCGGCCCCCCCCCCCCCTGCAGCCTCCCTCCCAGTAAAAAAGCACCATTGTGTTGTAGACCGCTGGCCGCCCCTGCAGAATACAAGCGCCATGTTGGCTCAGACTTCATGCCCCCCCCCCCGATGTTTGTTCCCACCCGGATCCACAGTGCAGAGAAGCACCATTTTGTTACGGACTACTGGCCTCCACTTCCCGAGTGTGCCCCTGGCCATGGTCAAAGACTTCACTTGTGCCTGCGGCAGACGTTACACCTGCAAGAACGCCGAGTGCGCCAGGGTCACCAAGTTCAAATGCGAGAAGCAGCATTTCAAGCCTCCATCTCTCGACTTGCAGGCAGGGCCCATAGCAGTGGCTAACATCCTGTGGGTGGTATTGTCCAACCTATCCAACAAGCATCATGCAAGAACCCTCCGGGCACAACTGATAGATGCTGGTGCCGTCGCGGACACGATCCTCGTCAAACATGGTTTTGAGTTTGGACACAAGGATGGTCGCCGCCAGCTGGGGCACACGGAAATCTGCATGTACAGTTTCCGCTACCGCTGGCTCCCCAGAGTGCAACAAGCGCTCCTGCAGTTCTCACACATTCGCTGTGTCGTCTACCTGGAGTGCACGGCCCGCTTAGCCTTCAGCTCAGTGCAGGAAATCTGCCCCACCGTCAACGGTGACTGCGCGGCCGATATTGGGCTACCGCAAGTCTCATCGCCCGAGTGAGTTCCGCAACGGCCACTCCAAGTTTGTCTACGAGGGATCTAAAATGATCGCCTTCAGGAAGCAATCTCTACGTCTCGTGTACGAGCATCTGCTCAGCACGAAGAGGTACTGCCATCTGGACCTGTGGCTGTGCCGGATCCTTGATCCCGCTTCCTTCTTCGTCCCACTGGTCTCCTGGACCACCTCGGCAGCTCACTCCTCCGTGTGTGGTGGCTCCCGGGACGGGCCTATCAAACGGCCACGCGAAGCTGCGGGGACAAAACAGAGAAGATGTGCTTTCTGTTTTCTTGCCGTTTGCGCTTGGATTGGCGCTCAACGCTCATCACCATGTGTGCAGAATCTATCTGCTGCCTTTGCCTTGCTTGCTTGCTTGCCGGCTTTGCGTGGGGCCATGACGTTTTCGGAGCCCTGCGCCCCACTTGCGTCTCAACCTTCGGGCGGAGACAACGTGGGTGCCCATCTCTCTGCCCAAGATGTTCTCTCTCTCTCTCTCTCTCTCTCTCTCTCTCTCTCTCTCTCTCTCTCTCTCTCTCTCTCTCTCTCTCTCTCTCTCTCTCTCTCTCTCTCTCTCTCGTAAACGGTGCGCGTGCCGCAGAAGGCCTTTTCGCGCATGCCGCCTGGCTGTACAGTTGCAGCATGTTGTCGCCGGATTGCAAAATGACGCGCAAGCTGCTTACAACTACCGTAGATCAGCCCTGCCAATTTAGAGGCTGTGTTCGCTCCTGTCGACTCGGCGTCTGAACAGCCGGGAAAAGAAGTGGCGAGCCAAACCAACCCGACGGCCGGATTTCAGGACAGTCACGCGGAGAATGTGGTCATGAGATTATTGCCCGACATTTAGTTCGCAGGCCGAGTCAATCGGCTTTTTTGCGGCTCCGGAAGTCTATGTTTGCCGACATCAACATTTGAACAAGCATGCGTTTCCCTCCGCCCCTCCCGAAAGAAGTGGTAGATACCTCTGTTGGCCATCCGATGAGTGCTTGCTCTGTAGAATGCGCGGAGGAGCCTGAGAAGCAGCCTGAGATCACCAGGCGGTTTCAGGTGGCATCCGCCCGTCCAGGTGGCCGAAGCCGACCACAGCAATCGCAGAGTCACGATGTCTACTTGGTGCATCAGTGCCATACGTGACTCGAGTACCAGAACAACGGGCACTTTTATGAGTCAAATGGGCCCATGCGTTAGCCTCGCCTTCTGAAAGCTGGTATCAGCTGCAGTCTTCGAAGTGGAGTGACAGAGCAATTGGTGGTCTTAACCGGGGTCATGTATTACAGAAGGTCAAGAGTATATAGGCACCATCTTCCGTCTTCCGTTACCAATAGGATGTGCAGCCATGCAGCTCTCCAGTTTTCCAGATTCGGCCCCTTTTGCAGTGTGGAGTTGTGCAGGCGGGTGCATAGGTGTGCCCGTGTCTGTGTGTGTGCCTCCACCCACCCACACAGTGCCACATAGATGCGCAAGACCACAACGGCAAAACGATAGCTGCGTTCCCGGCTTGGCTCTTTGCTCTGCCCCAGGCCATGTTGCACGTGGCCGGCATCCACGCCGATTTCTAGTCGGGTGCCACGGACAACGCCGGTGACTGTTGGGTGTGATGGAACAGCAAGAGATTTGATGTTTTATCTTGAACGGCAGGCCGCCACTTTTTCAAGCCGTGGCTAAGGCAAGGGCCAGTTGCTTGGGTAACTAGGGGTCTAGGGGTTGACCAGGGGGGCATTTGGGGGGGGAGTATATACATTCACGGCTCACCAGGGGTCGTCATGGCAGTCACTTGGGGGAGTACAAGCCCCCCTCGAGTTTTCACCCAAAGAAGCCGTCCCCGAGTTCATGCGGGAGGTTCTCACTTCCGCAACCCGTCCAACGCCAAACCCTACCTAAACCCTGAATCCCAATCCTAAGCCCCGAGCCCACCCCGAATGCAAACTCTGAACCTTAGGGTTCGTCGTTTACTGTTCGGGGTCTGGAGTTGGGAGCCCTCGGCAGCCCCTTCCGAGGCCTGCGAGTCTGACTTCGGTTGAGAAGGCCTCCGAATTTCGAGAGCCGCGTTCGCGTTCCTCAGAAGCCCCAAGCCTGAAACCCCAGACTTTAAGCACTAAACGCTGAACGCTTCCTTGTTGGGATTTTGGCTTAGGCTCCCTTGGAAAAGCCCTTGAAAATAGAAGGGGGGGGGTGTACCCTTTTTACTCGGGGATCTAGGAATGGCCTCAGGTTTCTTGGACCTTCAGTTGTTTAAGTTACGCTCCTCATGAAGGCCATAAATTCAGCTTAGACACCATTGTTGATTCTAAGCTGCTCTGAGACGTGGGTTTGCGGATGTTTGCGGGTTGACTGAAGGCTGTCTCGGATTTTCTGCACAGGGGCTAAACCATTGCGTTTGCATGATTCAATTGGAAGATTACGCGGAAGGGTTTAGGGGTTTGATGGCTGTCGCTTGGGGCCGGATGCTTCGTCCCGTGGTTTAGGGATTGAGGCTCGGTTTGCGGTTTTTGGCACTCCAAATCGGGACATGGTCTTTAAAAAGCTAGTTTTCCGGCCCTTTCTCCTCGTTTACGTGCTTCCGCTCCTGCTGCAGGAGGAGCTGGGTCAAAAAGGACCTGTGCCCATGCTTTTGTCTTCTGTCTGGACAATGTGCACACTTAAGGCTTCAATCCTAAGAGCTGCGCTGATGGCTGAAGGGCTCAGCATTTCGGCCGGAGCAGCGAAGGAGCTTGTCCTGTGCAGCACCCTGTATCTGAGGCATTCCTTGGGCCATGGAGGTCTTGACATTGGTGGGGGAGAGCGTGGTATGCTCAGCCTTGTTGTTGGCAGTGCTGGCCCTGTGTGGCTGGTGTCTGGTGATGGTGATGCTCGTGCTGATCGTGGCCCTCTCATGGCTTCCAGCCTTCGCGCTTCAAGCGCTGGCGCTCGTACTGGGGTCCTGGCTGGCGGAGCCCTTGCAGAGCCTGCCCGGCCAGCTTCGTGTGGCCGGGCTGTGGGCCTTTGTCTTCTACGTGGCCTTCGGGTGCCAGGGGCTCTTCTCACCGTGGCGACTGGTGCCAGGGTACATGGCCCGCTCAGGAGAGCAGTGGCAGAGGGCCCTGGCTCGGCTCGGCTTTCCTCCCCAGGCTGCGAGCACAGAAGCCTTCCTCTTCCGGTGGCTCATCATCATCATTCAACACATCCTGGTCTTGGGCCTCGTTACAGCCTCCTACTTCTACGAGGCGGCAGTGCTGTTCCAGCATGCCGCCCTGTGCCAGGTGGGCCACGATGCCGCCGACCTGCTGATCCACGCCCTCCGCATGAGCGGTTTCAACCCAATTCCCTGGCTCGGCCGCACCCCGTGCACTTGGGACTTCTTGAAGAAGCATCTGCTCTTCCATCACTCTCTCTCGCTGACCCTCCTGATCCCCTTGAACTTGGCTGGCCTGGCCGAGAATGGCCTCTACAAGGACATGGTCTGGTGGCTCGAGGCTGAGGGCATCGCCGGCATGTTGGCGGAGATCTTGCTGAAGGGACTGGAGCCCAACGCCATCAAGTACAAGACGATCTCTGGGGCGTCCTCCCTGCTCACCCTCTTCGTCCGCGGGGCGAAGTGGCCGTATACCTTCGCTTCTGGCCTTGCCGTGGTGCACGGCCAATCCTTTGGCATCCTGCCGGCCTACGCCCTCGGCATGTCCGCGTTCAGCTACTTCAATTACCTGGCCGTCTGGAAGGGCGCCTGCCAGCTCCACAGGATTCTTCGAGGAGCGGCTCCGTGAAATCTGCTCATTTTTGCTCCTTGGAGGATTCGGGTCGATAAGGGGATGCCAGCGTTCGGTTCTATAGAAGCTGTGTGCACATGTTGCGGGGAGCCGAGGTTCGTTCTGGAGGCAGCTTTGGATCTGGGCCTTGAAGCTCTCAATGCAGACACGTGCCATAAATCACGCACGTGATGTGAAGAGCTCTTGCGCCCTTGTGTCCCAACGTGGGCCTCCCGAGCCTCCTGTGTAAGATTCTGCAGGAGGCCTCTACGTTCCCTGATGTTTACAGCCACATAAAAGACCCACATGTCGTGGTCCTGCGCGATAAACAGAGTGCAGCCGCGACCGAAACGATAAAGCCTGTACATGCCCCTTTCCAGACCTGGGTCGCGTGCCATGTAAACGCCTTGTACAGCGGCACTGGCGCCCATCTCCGGCATCTCTCTTGGACTCGCAACAGCATGGCGCAAAGCGCCGCAAAGTTACGCGAAGATGGCATCTCCCTGCAGGGCTTAGGGCTTGCAGCATTGCAGACATGCCTCCGCCAAGTGGCTGCTGGCAACCAACGTGCTTTCCTGCTGGCAGGACTTCGTGGGGACGACACGCAGAGCAGCCCGGCGAGCTGCAGTGGGGGCCCAGGCTCCAAGCTCGGCGTCCTCTGCATCGCTGTCTTGATGCTGCGTAGTCGGTACGGATTTCGCTGCCGTGTTTCCTAGAGAGTTTCCAACCGAATCCTTGGATTGTCCGTTCTGATTGTGTATCCTCAGCGTTCAGATAGATGTATGAGGTTCCCGAGTCCAATTCTTTTGCATTCCGCAGAGTGCTCACACCTTGGCGCTGCAGTCTTGCGCTGCAGCTGACAGCACGTATGGAAGGCGAGTTGTGTGTGTGTGTGTGTGTGTGCTGCTGCAGCGAAAGATCCAGTCCAGCAAGAGCAAACACAACATACTGTGCAAATGTCCAGGAAAAAGGCGCGGCCACCCAAAACCTGTTCCTTTTGGGGTTTAGGCTTAAACTCAAGCCAACAGCCCACTTCCAAAAACTTCTTCTGTTCCAGGGGGTCTCCTCTCAGGGGGGTTGTAAGAGGGTCCCAGGGTTTCTTCAGAGGCGTGGGCTCAGGTCCCAGGGGTCTCAGGCGGGGCCAGGGTCCTTGGTGTGTTGTTGGGAGTGTTTAGGCCAGAGCGCCCCTGATCCCTGGGCACACTGCGGCGAGGGGTCCCGAGAACCTGCTGGGTTGGGGCCAGTACTGGTCCCGAAGAGAACACAGGCTTAGAGTTTAGAGTTTCGGGCTTTAGGGCTTTCAAAGTCAGTCATGCGTATGACAGCGCCGAAGAAACATCTGTTCAGGGCATAGACAGCTCTAGGGGCATCAGGGCTAGGGTTTTTAGGGTTTAGGGTATTCGGGCAAAGATGGTTATGTAGTTCACGTATCGGGACATGGTCTTTAAAAACTAGTTCCTCTATACTTTTCGGGCCCTTTCTCCTCTTTTACGTGCTTTCGCTCCTGCTGCTTTCGCTCCTTCTGCAGGAAGAGCCTCGCTTCCGGTTTTGGCTGGGTCAAGAAAAAGGACCAATGCCTATGCTTCTGTCTGGACAATGTGCACACTTAAGGCTTCAATCCTAAGAGCTGCTCTGATGGCTGAAGGGCTCAGCATTTCGGCCGGAGCAGCGAAGGAGCTTGTCCTGTGCAGCACCCTGTATCTGAGGCATTCCTCGGGCCATGGAGGTCTTGACATTGACATGGGATTGCGTGGTATTTTCAGCCTTGTTGTTGGCAGTGCTGGCCCTATATGTCTTGTGTCTGGTGATGGTGATGCTCGTGGTGATGGTGATGCTCGTGCTGATCGTGGCCCTCTCATGGCCTCCAGCCTTCGCGCTTCAAGCGCTGGCGGCCGTACTGGGGTCCTGGCTGGCTGAGCCCTTGCAGAGCCTGACCGGCCAGCTTCGTGTGGCCGGGCTGTGGGCCTTTGTCTTCTACGTGGCCTTCGGGTGCCAGGGGCTCTTCTCACCGTGGCGACTGGTGCCAGGGTACATGGCCCGCTCAGGAGAGCAGTGGCAGAGGGCCCTGGCTCGGCTCGGCTTTCCTCCCCAGGCTGCGAGCACAGAAGCCTTCCTCTTCCGGTGGCTCATCATCATCATTCAACACATCCTGGTCTTGGGCCTCGTTACAGCCTCCTACTTCTACGAGGCGGCAGTGCTGTTCCAGCATGCCGCCCTGTGCCAGGTGGGCCACGATGCCGCCGACCTGCTGATCCACGCCCTCCGCATGAGCGGTTTCAACCCAATTCCCTGGCTCGGCCGCACCCCGTGCACTTGGGACTTCTTGAAGAAGCATCTGCTCTTCCATCACTCTCTCTCGCTGACCCTCCTGATCCCCTTGAACTTGGCTGGCCTGGCCGAGAATGGCCTCTACAAGGACATGGTCTGGTGGCTCGAGGCTGAGGGCATCGCCGGCATGTTGGCGGAGATCTTGCTGAAGGGACTGGAGCCCAACGCCATCAAGTACAAGACGATCTCTGGGGCGTCCTCCCTGCTCACCCTCTTCGTCCGCGGGGCGAAGTGGCCGTATACCTTCGCCTCTGGCCTTGCCGTGGTGCACGGCCAATCCTTTGGCATCCTGCCGGCCTACGCCCTCGGCATGTCCGCGTTCAGCTACTTCAATTACCTGGCCGTCTGGAAGGGCGCCTGCCAGCTCCACAGGATTCTTCGAGGAGCGGCTCCGTGAAATCTGCTCATTTTTGCTCCTTGGAGGATTTGGGTCGATAAGGGGATGCCAGCGTTCGGTTCTATAGAAGCTGTGTGCACATGTTGCGGGGAGCCGAGGTTCGTTCTGGAGGCAGCTTTGGATCTGGGCCTTGAAGCTCTCAATGCAGACACGTGCCATAAATCACGCACGTGATGTGAAGAGCTCTTGCGCCCTTGTGTCCCAACGTGGGCCTCCCGAGCCTCCTGTGTAAGATTCTGCAGGAGGCCTCTACGTTCCCTGATGTTTACAGCCACATAAAAGACCCACATGTCGTGGTCCTGCGCGATAAACAGCGTGCAGCCGCGACCGAAACGATAAAGCCTGTACATGCCCCTTTCCAGACCTGGGTCGCGTGCCATGTAAACGCCTTGTACAGCGGCACTGGCGCCCATCTCCGGCATCTCTCTTGGACTCGCAACAGCATGGCGCAAAGCGCCGCAAAGCTACGCGAAGATGGCATCTCCCTGCAGGGCTTAGGGCTTGCAGCATTGCAGACATGCCTCCGCCAAGTTGCTGCTGGCAACCAACGTGCTTTCCTGCTGGCAGGACTTCGTGGGACGACACGCAGAGCAGCCCGGCGAGCTGCAGTGGGGGCCCAGGCTCCAAGCTCGGCATCCTCCGCATCGCGTGCTCGTGTTCACCTGTCTTGATGCTGTGTAGTCGGAACGATGTGACGCCGCCGCCGCCGTGTTTGCTGGAGAGTCTCCACCGCATGCTCGGACTGGCCTGCCCTTGTTGCGATTTTAGCTGGCGTGCAAGGGCTGCTGCCAGCATTGGACGTTTGAGGTTTCAGCGGTCGCTGTTGTGCATGCCGCGAGGCCCGGGTGTAATATCATTCCTTAACTATCGTTGCCTGCAAGGTCACGTCGCCGTATTTCCTGTTGAACTAAAGACCACTTCGAAACCCCATAGAGTGCAGCTATGAGCTTTGTATTCGTCTTGTCGCAGTTTTAAGTGTGCACTGTCTGCAGCATGTTGCTAGCGTTCAATCCAAGACAGGGATGTCGCAACCTCAAATTGGCAGGCGGTTCTGCCAAGAGAGGAGTACCCAAAAACGTCCGCAAGCCCTTGGGCAACGTGTGTCCATCAGTGACCCTCCTGAAGTCATGAAACCTTAGGTACATCAGTTTACTTTAGCCTCTCCTTGGTTGATCTTGGCTGATAGCATGCTGTCCAGCCCCATGCGCCAAGCAGTTCATGCGGCTTCTTTTGATGAAAGGTGACTGTCCATGGCGACGTGCAAGTCTCCTGACAGAGTGAGGCGCTCGCTTGCATCAAGGTGGGGGGGCAGTCAGGAAATCCTTCTGTCACAGTGAGATGTATTCTACGCGCCCTTGGTTGGATCTCTTGTGCATGCGTGCCGAACTTGGCCAGTTCAGTTTTGGCCCAGGTTTCAGGACACAGGTAGGGAGCCTTTCAAGCCGTTCATGGAGCTGGCTTGCGCAGGCGTAGCAGCAGTATGGGTATGCTTAATCATTCTTGCGGCCATCATGATCGTGATCTTGATCGTGGCCTGCGTGCTGGCCCTCTACGTAGTAGGGAAAGCGCATCGCAACCTAGGCCGCTTGGCTATTTGCATCGGCCTGCCGGTGGAGGTGCTGGACATCGGCCTTCGGCTGGTCCTGTGGCGCGAGGTGGCCTGCCGGGTCCAAGCAGCTTTGGAGACCTTGCTCCCGAAGTTTGACCCCTGCTCTGGCAAGCACAAGGCGCTGAATGCGACGAAGCATCTGATAGTCCTGTACATCAGGGGCTGGCAGTTCTGGCGGATGGTGTCCTGGGCTTCCAGCCTTGCTTACGAATCGCCGGCAGCTTGCTTGGCGTGCATCCTGTCCATGGCGCCGCAAGGCTACTACAACTTCTACAATGTTTGTGAGAGCTACTGGGCCCTGTGCAGGATGCTGTGGTAACATTGGCTGGAGGGCCCTGAGGCAGAGCCTGCAGTGCCCGTGCCAAGTTCCTGTTGCATGGCTCGGCGCCTCCTGCACGGATGGTTTCCAGAACCGGCGCCTTGCAATCACAAAGCTTCCTTAGTAGCCCCCCTTTGGGAACGCATGCGTTGCTCCTGGATGCCTTGCTTGCGTGTCGTGTTCTTGCCTGTCGCGAATGCTGGCCCAGGACTTCGATGGGCGTACACAGGAGCGAGGACGTAACCAAGTACCTGCTCCTTTTGCACAGATCCATAAAGAAGGATGCATTGGCCCTGGAAGACGGGGTTTTGTGAATTAAACAGTTGTCCTGCAGCCGTGGCAGGGATCAAAGATCTTAAGCTGCGTCGGGCGAGAGATAGAGACGGTTTTCTTCTGCAGTCATGCGCTGTAAATCAAGCTGCTGGCTGCGAAATGCTCTGTCTTCGAGACGGTGTACAGGGGCCTCGCGCAAAACTTGACATGAGACAAAAAAGGTTGCAAAAGAAGACTCGCTTTCGGCGACAGGTTCACAAGGGGCCGTCTACAGATTCGCTTATGTTGTGCCATCCTGGCAGGACCTCCGTGGACCTCCTGCTTTGGCAAAGGCACGATCTTCGGGCACCGACTGACACGGACGCACGGGTGTTTTGCTTCGACATCATGTCAAATTTCTCGGTAACTTAGCCTTTATGTATCGAAGCCCCTCAACATCAGGGTTTGGCCCAAACACCAGCAGACCGGATCTTAGCGTCGGTTCCCTGCTTTGAGATGCTGGCTATTATCTCAGCGGTGGTTTCGGTATTCGTGCCGCTTCTAGCTTTGTTGGTGGCCATGCAGCGTCTGATCTGCTTTGGGGAATGGCTTGTGGACATTGCCTTCAGCTTTGCAGAGCAGTTGCCGAAATGGCGCGACCAAGCCCTGCGGAGCAGCAGTCCGGTGTTCTTCCTCTTTCGCTGCCTGGTTTTGAGTTCGCCTTGCCCCAGCGAGAGTCCATGCAAGGATTTGGTATGCTTGATTCAAGCACAAGGAATGGCAGGGCTGGCGGGGGACATCAGTCTTTACATTCGGGCCCTCAGGCTGCAAGTGCAGGATGATGGCCGGCTTTCTGAGGATACTTGTCCGGAGCCTGACTTAGCCCAATGCCTTCGTCAGCGGTTTGGACTGGGCATGTTCCCGCTCATTTACCTCAACAACGGCTATTCATTGCAGAAGAGATGTCGGGATCTCCTTAGCCGACACGGGGCAAATGCCCAAGCTTGCACTGTAAACAGTGTTGTGGCTGCCGCTGTACAGCAGCACAGCGGGGTCCCGGCCTACGCCCTCGGCATGTTCGCGTTCAGCTACTTCAACGACCTGGCCGTCTAGGAAGGGCACCTGCCAGTTCCGCAGGTTTCCTCGAGGAACGGCTCCGTGAAATCTGCTCATTTTTGCTCCTTGGAGGATTCGGTCGAGAAGGGATGTCAGCATTCCTGGCATTGACATGCGTTGGCACTCAGGGTTCTGTAGAAGCTGTGTGCACATGTTGCGGGGAGCCGAGGTTCGCTCTGGAGGCAGCTTTGGATCTGGCCTTGAAGCTCTCAATACAGACATGCGCCATAAATAACGCGCGTGATGTGAAGAGCTCTTGCGCCCTTGTGGCCCAACGTGGGCCCCCTGAGCCTCCTGTACTCTCCTGTAAAGGATTCTGCGGGAGGGTCCTGCACGATAAACAGCGTGCAGCCGTGACCGAAACGATAAAGCCTGTACATGCCCCTTTCCAGACCTGGGTCGCGTGCCATGTAAACGCCTTGTACAGCGGCACTGGCGCCCATCTCTGGCATCTCTCTTGGACTCGCAACAGCCTGGCGCAAAGCGCCACAAGGTCACGTGAAGATGGCATCTCCCTGCAGGGCTTGCAGCCTTGCAGGCATGCCTCCGCCAAGTGGCTGCTAGCAACTAACGTGCTTTCCTGCTGGCAGGACTGGGACGACACGCAGAGCAGCCCGGCGAGCTGCAATAGGGGCCGGACTCCGAGCTCGGCATCCTCCGCATCGCGTGCTCGTGTGCACCTATAATTATGCTGTGTAGTCGGAACGGATTTCGCTGCCGTGTTTGCTAGAGAGTCTCCAACCGAATCCTTGGGTTGGTCCGCTCTGATTGTGTATCCTCAACGTTCAGATAGATACCTTGGCGCTGCAGTCGTGTGCTGCAGGTGACAGCAACAAGCCAGCACGTCTGGGACATCCGTAGCTTGTGGCTACGGCCACAAGGTGTTCCTCCAGGTTTGCGCTCAATGTGCGCGGTGTTGCTGCTGGTCAAAAAAGTTACAAAGAGGGTCCTCATTGGGAAAGCAGTTGAGTGTTGCAGGTGCAGGGGATGCCCAGAAGAGGAAGTGAAGGCAACAGGTAGGGCATGGGCGTTTGCTGGAGCACGTTTGAACTGAAAAGATCTGAAAAGTATGAGTTTAAGAATAAGGTTCCACAGGGACCGCGACGAAGAAATAGGCGATGGCCTCAGCAAGGGGCCTCAACCATGTGAAGACCGCGTCTTGAGGGGAAATTAGATGTAGGGACGAATGGACGTTTATCAAGCACGGAAACCGATCACTAATTAGTAGACACGGTGGTCGACATCGACCCGACTGGCCTACTACCAAGGTTCTTTTGGCACAGCTCGTATGCAGAGCTTTTGCTCGCGGAATGAGGCCATATGGAGCTGTTGGGGCTTGAGCTTCCAAAGAATTCCAAGGAATCTCCTGAGCTTGCTTCTGATGATTGTACGCCTCGCCGCCCACTACAACTCGGGGACCGAGATGTCTTTGGTCAAAGGTTGAAGTTACATGCTTTCACACGAACCTGGGCTGCTCGATTTCCCGCTCCGTTGTGGCTTCGGGCAAAATCAAAGCCTGGCAAGCAGCCGCAGACCCCTGAAACCTTACCGAGTATTCCGGAGGTCAGGCTTTAGCAATGTAGTGTCCTGGCTGTGAGCCGAGCCTGGGTCTCTTACACTTGCCTCATCTTGCTTGAGCTGCGTCCAGCTGCCAGATGGTTTTTGTTGGCTAGCAACAGGGAGGGCCGCCAAGTGCTAGCAGCGGCTCAAGATTTTTCTGGTAGGGAGGGTAGGTGGTGTGCGGAAGGCCGCGTCAAATTCATGAGCTGCCAATGGCTTGGTTTCCTGGGCCTGGCTTTGCTAGGAGCCCTTGCCGTCCAGCTGGGATCGCTGGTCCTCACACAACTTGCGGTAATTCTTGCAGAACAGCAACTTGAGCTCTTACGTGCAATGCTGCGATGTCAGCTTTCTGCATTGCTTGCCACGCTGATGCTGACATTAATAATGGCAGTTGTGACCCTCACGGTGTTGGCAGCCCTGCAGCTCTACCGTGCTAATATCTGCAGAGATGCCGGACAAACTTGTGCTTCTCGCGGCGTCCAGCCTCGTGACGTTGCGCAGACACGTTTGACCAGCTCTGCTTCAGTTATGAGAGAGAAGGGGCTGAACGCTGCAGAGAAGGCTCTGAACGCTGCGAGCGGACAGAGGGAGGGAGGGAGGGAGGGAGGGAAGCGCAGGGCTTCGAGTGAGAAACAGTGCAAAAAATCATAACGTGCCAGGTGGCGGAACAAGATGAGCAGGGCAGTTCACATGCGCATCCGCCAGCCGATCCAGAGAGTGGCAGCCGATCATCGCGCCAGGAGGCGCCACCCCGCCTCGAGCTGGTCCCAGCTCCCCGGCATAAAGAGGCCGGAAAGCTGCCCGATCAGCCAGAAGAACTTGATGAAGGCCGCAAAGGATTGGAGGAACATGCTGTCGAGACGAGGCAAGGGGATGAGCAAGGATGCAATGGTCTTCCGCTGAAGTGCCCGAACCACGCAGACCCAGCACGGAGCAGTGATTCAAGCTCGCCTGCGCGTCCGCCAGCCGATCCAGAGAGTGGCAGCCGATCATCGCGCCAGCAGGCGCCACCCCGCCTCGAGCTGGTCCCAGCTCCCCGGCATAAAGAGGCCGGAAAGCGGCTGGATCAGCCAGAAGAACTTGATGAAGGCCGCGAAGGATTGGAGGAACACGCTGTCGAGACGAGGCAAGGCGATGAGCAAGGATGCAAAGGTCTTCTGCTGGAGTGCCTGAACCACGCAGACCCGGCACGGAGCAGTGATTCAAGCTCGCCTGTGCATCCGTCAGCCGATGCAGAGAGTGGCAGCCGATCATCGCGCCAGCGTGCGCCATCCTGTCTTGAGCTGGTCCGAGTTCCCTGGCATAAAGAGGCTGAGGAAAGCCCTGTTGGGAGTGATGAAGGTCCATTCCGCCACAAGCGGCAGGCCAAGAAGCCAAGGAAGCCGTGCAAAGGCAGAACTGTGTGCTGGAAGCCATTGCATGAGCTGCCTGCAGAAGAGGAGTGCCAAATTTGTGGCGCAAAGGGCTCGCAGCTCCTTCAGGGAAAGCCAGACAAGCCAAAGAACATGTACTTCCTGGAAGAGGCGGATGCTGCGGAACTGCAGGGCCAATGGCCGTTTCGCTGCTGGTGCTGGAAGTGCGAGGTTGCCAGAACCGCCATTGGCGATGGGTCGGAGGACCACACGGAAAACGAGGAGTTGGCGCTCCGATGCGGCAGATGCCAGATGGATGGGTCCTTGGGTCTATCGAAGCGCGTGTATGACCACTTCAGACGGGCGATTGGTGATGCCCCCGTTCATTGTAAGAAGGCCGGACGGGGACATGAAAAACACAGTCCATCAATTGCCACAGACATGAGAGCTCTCACGCGCTTGACCAGGCGCTTGTGGGCAAATGTCCCAGCATTGGTCAGTGTCTCTACATGCATCCCAAGGCTGGGACTGGGGGAGGTTCCTGGAAAGGCGGTGCCATGCAGTGCCGGGGTCGGCTTCCGAGCGATGCCACGTCCAGTGCCCTTGTCCTGTCCGCAGCCTCCGTGCCCATGCTAGGAGCCCTTGCCGTACGCAGTGGATGATCGGGTGAGCCGCGCCTTCCTGCTTTGCCGCCTGGCAAGTGTGGGCAATGAAAAGGACAAGGAGTTCGTCGCTCGCTGGCTCAGAAACGACCAAAGCCAGGTTGCTTTCGTGCAAGGCTTCCGGCCCTTTTCGTCAGCCGAGGCGCCTCCGCCACAGACGTTTCTTAGCCCTAAACGGCCCTGCAGTGTCCTTTCATGTCCTTTCAATCATACTGTATACGCCCCGTTCCCACTTTCGGAGCTCCAGGCGCTTTTGCAAGTTCCGGTGCCAGACGCGGCCATGCGGAGCATGCTTGGGCAGCTTCAGGTCCCCGAGCGGCTGCTGAAGGTGTTGGAGGCGTCTTTGCCAAGCCAAGCATGCAATGTGTTCACTTTATCTCTTACTTCCTGAGCCGAGCCAAGCCAAGCCAACCAAGCCTAACCAAAAGCCAGGCCAGGCCAAGCCAGTGCAATTCAAGACGACAACTTTTCAATCCCTTCTCCAGTTGGGGTGTATCTTGAGAATTCGGTCTTACAAGCATCCTCGTCCAATTGGACCCCGCCTAAGTGTCAAATTATCAGAGAAGAACTGCGAGACGTCAAAGAAGTAGTATTTGCCAGCAAACTCATGCGTTCAAACACGTTGTCGGAAAGCTGTGAGGGTCTGCAGTTGAGGCTAGCGCGTGTAGCAGCCATGAGCCGCGAACGCAAGACTTCGCAAAGTCAACCTTGAACTTGACAAAGCCTTTGCAGACGTAGCCCCTCAAACTTTTCATAAGCCCCTCAAACTTTACATTTTGCACAAGTTCGAGGCCACCAGCCCAAACCCAATCTGCGTACTTGACATGGGAGGTCTTGGAGCAGTTTCAGCGCCCCTATGACCGAGGGGCCATGTTCTGCGAAGTCATCAGATGCCACTCCAAATCACCAGACGTTGCTGTTTGTTTCTTTACTGTTCTTCAATACCCCGAACCCATTGAGGTCGTTGTCATTGCCTGCAGCCTTAGGTTCTTCTCAGCAGTTTCTTGTGATTTCCAGACCATGCCTTACTTCAGCCTTTCATTTAGAACTCAGAGCGCTTGTGCCAGCACACAAGAAGACCAGATGGGGTGCTGAGAATAGGCTCTGGCTGAGTGGTTGCTGCGTGCGTGTGCGGTCGTGGTTGCTGGTCGAAGGCAGCAATCTGCGCGCAGAAGCAAGCAGCACACTCCTACGCATCTGAACCCGGGCGCATATCCGTGACAAGAGCAGCTTCCAAAGCGAAAGGCGGGACGGGATAAGGGGAGCGGAGGTGCTGGCTTCAGGGGGTTTGGTGAAGAGGCACCTCTTTGCATCTGCAGGCAACAGCACGCCTCTGTCCGCACACCGTTTATCACCAGGAAACATCTGCTGAAGAAGCGACTCTTTTGCTTCAAGTTTCAAGGTGCTGCCCTACGCTACCACAAAACTCGTGCGCAAGAGAGTTCTTCGGATCCTTCGAACTTGTTCGGATTGTTTTTGCTCAGCAGCTGCGCTTTGTCGTCTTTTGTGCCAAGAAAGTTTGGGGTGGCTGGTGTTCCAGGGCTGTTGAAGATACACCCCCACCACCCTCACCCCCCATGCCAGCACTTCAATTTGCATTTACTCCGCTGCAGATCGAAAGCCTTAGATGTCTAAAGGTCCTAACAAAGACATGAGGCAAGAGGAGTCAAACATGTGCGTCGTAGCGTTTCAAAAAATTGCATGCAGGCCGGAAGTGGAAGTAGCATGGACATTTCAGACGCCATGCAGTCGCCCCAAGGTGATTGGAAGGTGCAGTTGGCCAAGCTGATTGGATGCTTGGCACGCGGCGCACAGGAACATCCACTGTGTCTGGACCTGGCACGCCTTGGCTCAAGTGCCGGGCTTAGGCATGATACTTGATGGCGAGGCTTACGGTAACAGTTGGCGTCCTGGAACCTTCCAGGCAGCGCCGAGGTTCTTAGGAAGCTTTTCGGGAACTGGACAGTTATCTTCCCAAGAAAGTATGCAAATTTCAAGGTGAACTCTTCGCGCTGGCCGAAGGCTTGCAGCTGTGCCCAAATCTCCGGAAGTTGTCACTGGACTTCTGCCACAGTTGGATCATTGGCCGCGGGCTGAGGCGATGTTTGACGTGAAGTTTGGTCTGTACTTCAGTAAGGGTGGGAAGGGGTACAGTGGGTTCAGTGTGATGCAAGCTTCTCGTGCACGGAGTGGCTAACGAGGAATCCGCGTCGGAGATGATGGTGCCTCCCGTCTGGCCGAAGGCTTGCAGCAGTGCCCCAATCTCCGGGAGGTGTCACTGAACCTCGAGGACACCGAAATTGGCAGTGGGCTGAGGGCGATGTTCGCAGGGAAGCGGCGCTTGGGTCCGTAAGGGTGGGAAGCAGTATAGAGTGGGTTCAGTGTGATGCAAGTTCTCGGGCACGGAGTGGCTCATGAGAGTATTGGCAACTTCCCAGGTGACCGTGGCGCCTCCTGTTTGGCCGAAGGCTTGCAGAAGTGCCGATATCTCCGACAGGTGTCACTGAACCTCGAAAACACCGAAATTGGCAGCGGGCTGAGGGCGATGTTCGCAGGGAAGCGGCATTTGGGTCCGTAATGGTGGGAAGAAGTAGAGCGGGTTCAGTGTGATGCAAGTTCTCGGGCACGGAGTGGCTCATGAGGGTACTGGCAACTTTCCAGGTGACCATGGCGCCTCTCGTCTAGCCAAAGCCTTGGCAAATCTCCGAGAGGTTTCACTGGACCTCAGCAGCACCCAAGTGGGCCGCGGGCTGAGGGCTATGTTCGCAGGGAAGCGGCATTTGGGTCATGCAAGTTCTCGGGCACGGAGTGGCTCATGAGGGTATTGGCAACTTCCCAGGTGACGATGGTGCCTCCTGTTTGGTGGAAGGCTTGCAGCAGTGCCCCAATCTCCGGGAGGTGTCACTGAACCTCGAGTACACCCAAATTGGCAGTGGGCTGAGGGCGATGTTCGCAGGGAAGCGTCATTTGGGTCCGTATTGGTGGGAAGCAGTATAGAGCGGGTTCAGTGTGATGCAAGTTCTCGGGCACGGAGTGGCTCATGAGGGTATTATTGGCAACTTCCCAGGTGACGATGGTGCCTCCTGTTTGGTGGAAGGCTTGCAGCAGTGCCCCAATCTCCGGGAGGTGTCACTGAACCTCGAGTACACCCAAATTGGCAGTGGGCTGAGGGCGATGTTCGCAGGGGGTCATGCAAGTTCTCGGGCACGGAGTGGCCCATGAGGGTATCTGCAACGTGCCAGGTGATGATGGTGTCTCCCGTCTTGCCGAAGGTTTGCAGCAGTGCCCGAATCTCCGGGAGGTGTCGCTGAACCTCAGGAGCACTGAAGTTGGTCGCGGGCCGAGGGCGATGTTGGCAGGGGTCATTTGGGTCCGTAAGGGTGGGAAGAAGTAGAGCGGGTTCAGTGTGATGCAAGCTTCTCGGGCACGGAGTGGCTCATGACGGTATTGGCAACTTTCCAGGTGACCATGGCGCCTCTCGTCTAGCCAAAGCCTTGGCAAATCTCCGAGAGGTTTCACTGGACCTCAGCTACACCCAAGTTGGCCTCGGGCTGAGGGCTATGTTTGCAGGGAAGCGGCATTTGGGTCATGCAAGTTCTCGGGCACGGAGTGGCTCATGAGAGTATTGGCAACTTCCCAGGTGATGATGGTGTCTCCCGTCTTGCCGAAGGTTTGCAGCAGTGCCCGAATCTCCAAGCGCTGTCACTGTGCCTCGTGCTCCACCACAAAGTTGGCCGCGGGCTGAGGGCGATGTTCGCAGGGAAGCGTCATTTGGGTCCGTATTGGTGGGAAGCAGTATAGAGTGGGTTCAGTGTGATGCAAGCTTCTCGGGCACGGAGTGGCTCAACTTCCCAGGTGACCGTGGCGCCTACTGTTTGGCCGAAGGCTTGCAGCAGTGCCCCAATCTCCGGGAGGTGTCACTGAACCTCGACTACACCCAAATTGGCAGTGGGCTGAGGGCGATGTTCGCAGGGAAGCGTCATTTGGGTCCGTATTGGTGGGAAGCAGTATAGAGCGGGTTCAGTGTGATGCAAGCTTCTCGGGCACGGAGTGGCTCATGAGGGTATTATTGGCAACTTCCCAGGTGACCGTGGCGCCTCCTGTTTGGCCGAAGGCTTGCAGAAGTGCCGATATCTCCGAGAGGTGTCACTGAACCTCGAAGACACCGAAATTGGCAGTGGGCTGAGGGCGATGTTCGCAGGGAAGCGGCGCTTGGGTCCGTAAGGGTGGGAAGCAGTATAGAGTGGGTTCAGTGTGATGCAAGTTCTCGGGCACGGAGTGGCTCATGAGGGTATTGGCAACTTTCCAGGTGACCATGGCGCCTCTCGTCTAGCCAAAGCCTTGGCAAATCTCCGAAAGGTTTCGCTGGACCTCCGCCACACCCAAGTTGGCCTCGGGCTGAGGGCGATGTTGGGAAGCGGCATTTGGGTCCGTATTGGTGGGAAGCAGTATAGAGTGGGTTCAGTGTGATGCAAGTTCTCGGGCACGGAGTGGCTCATGAGAGTATTGGCAACTTCCCAGGTGACGATGGTGCCTCCCGTCTGGCCGAAGGCTTGCAGCAGTGCAAGAATCTACGAGCGCTGTCACTGTGCCTCTCGATCACCAAAGTTGGCCGCGGGCTGAGGGCGATGTTCGCAGGGCAGCGGCATTTGGGTCCGTAATGGTGGGAAGAAGTAGAGCGGGTTCAGTGTGATGCAAGTTCTCGGGCACGGAGTGGCTCATGAGGGTATCTGCAACGTCCCAGGTGACGATGGTGCCTCCCGTCTGGCCGAAGGCTTGCAGCAGTGCAAGAATCTCCGAGCGTTGTCACTGTCCCTCCTAGCCACCAATGTTGGCCGCGGGCTGAGGGCGATGTTCGCAGGGAAGCGTCATTTGGGTCCGTATTGGTGGGAAGCAGTATAGAGTGGGTTCAGTGTGATGCAAGTTCTCGGGCACGGAGTGGCTCATGAGGGCATTGGCAACTTCCCAGGTGGCCGTGGCGCCTCCTGTTTGGCCGAAGGCTTGCAGAAGTGCCGATATCTCCGAGAGGTGTCACTGAACCTCGAAAACACCGAAGTTGGCAGCGGTTCAGTGTGATGCAAGCTTCTCGGGCATGGAGTCGCTAATGAGGGTATCCGCATGCCATGCGCTTTGCTTGCAGTGCAGGCTCGTGATTTGTTGCGTAACCCCCATCGTAGTCTTAGCAAGCCGACAGCTTGACCATGAGTACTGTTGGTGCCGAGGCTGCGAGAAGCCCCGCAGCAAAAGTGATCCTGGGCTTGGGATTCGCTATGTTTGAGCTGCCTTTGACTGCATAAGCGCACGGAAAGAGCAGCCTTTTTACTTCGGTCGCAGTTGCTCCACCGTAAACAAGTGTGCGTGCACTGCAAAAACCCGTTTAGTTCCAGAGACAATGACATGCATGCCGCATAGATGTACAGTGCACAGTTGCAGCATGTTGGCGCCGATTGCACAAAAAGGTTTCGCAAGGCGACGCAGGGGTAAAGGGCCAAGGGTTGTGGACTGCGAGATTCCTGGTGACTCAGGACTCAAGAAACCCAAATCCTGACAAGTTTAAGCCTGCCTGTGTTCGCTCCTTGTGGACTAGCTGTCTGACTGCTAAGCACGCGCCAGACGAATGAGATGGGGCTTCGGCTTTGTGTTTGTTCTAGCTGAAACTGCATGGCTCGATGTTTGCTCCGGATGATTGCGTGGACAGAGGCCCCTTGAAGCGCAGCCATTCCTCACCAGGGAACAAACACGAAGTGGCGAGCGCAGCTTCTTCGCTATGCAAATGTGCACGTTGGAGCTTGCCTCAAAGCCGACGCGATCAGCCAGATCGAAAAACAGCCATGCGCTGAATCTACTGTATTCTGCAGAGGTCGCCCTGAACCCTAAACCCTAAGCCCTAAGCCCTAAGCCCTAAACCCTAAACCCTAAGCCCCAAACCCTAAACCCTATACACCCTTAGGTATCATATAGTCATGGTTGGCCTTTGGGGTGCTCGGATTTTGCAATAGTGCCGATGCAAAGTCCGAAGGCCCTCCGGTTTTAGCACCTGTTGCATTGGCCGTTTGCCCCGAAACCCAGCAAACCCTAAACCCAAAACACCCTACAGGAGGCTCGGGAGGCCCGCGTTGGGACGCAAGGGCGCAAGAGGTTGTACTTTTGATTCACTTGGCACCCTAAAATTCCTACAACTTTAAGCGCTCGGGCGTTGTTTCGTGGACAATCAGAGCTTCGTTCTTTGGCTACTTGGCCGCCCATGCCGCCGAAGGCTTTTCGAACAAAGTGGATGGGAACATGAGTGACACATGTTGTGTGATGCCAGTGAGTAAGCCGCCCAAAGGGTGCCACTACTTTAAATTGGATAAGCTCCGTATGTTTCTCTGCGGCACACCTACGTTGCGTCTCACTGGTGGGTTCTTCTGTAGCAAACAACGAGACGCTCCTTAATTGCTAGCTAACAGCTTGTTATTTGTGCAACTTGATGGTTTTGGTGAAAGCTTGCCACGCTGAAGTTCAAAATTCAAAACGCGAGACGGAGCCTGTGAATCAAGGCCCACACCAAGCCACAAACTAGCACCGAGATTTATTGCCTCCCCCCCAACCCGCCCCTCCCCCGCCTCGCCCCCCCTATCTCTCTGGCAAGCAGCTGATTTGCTGATTTCAAGCCCCCGGCCCCCCTGCCAATTAAGCTACAAATAGTGGCTATTTGTAGGTTATTTGCTAGCAAATAACGGCTTTCTGAATTCAGGCCCCCCCAGCCCCCCTGCCAATTTTGCTACAAATAGTGGCTATTTGTAGGCTATTTGCTGGCAAACAGCGGATTTCTGAATTCAGGCCCCGCGCCCCCCTGCCAATTATTTCTGACAATTAAGCTACAAGTAGTGGCTATTTTGCTATTTGTAGGCTATGTGCTAGCAAATAGCGGATTTTCTGAATTCAGGCCCCCCCCTGACCCCCCTGCCAATTAGGCTACAAGTAGTGGACCGCCGACTGTGAATTCACTCTGCGCAAAAGCGGCAAGATCGCAACACAGCTTGGAGCGGCAAGCAGTCGTGAATTTAGCACGCGCCTCGAAAACCAGCACACTACCGCGCAATACGTCGGTATTGGGCACCGGTGTTGGGTGAGTTGTCTCATTTGTTAACCATGTTTTTTTGCGGCTAACTGGTTGGCGGGGGATGCTGGAGGGGGGGGGGTCCGCAAACTCATGATTGGGCGTTGCTTCATGAACACTTCCGAGCTTCGTTTTTTAGCTGCGCGCCGCTGCTGGAAGCAGTGGGTCAACTCTATCGTAGTATTAGTCATATACATTCAGTATGTACATATATAAGGTTCGAAAAATAGTAGGCTTTTTGTATACTTCGTTTGTTAATTTGTATTTGTCTTGTCCTAATTGGCGTTCACAATTGTTGAACTAATCAAAGATATGAATTCAGAATCTTAGATGAGATCTTCATTTTCATGAAGCATGATCAAAAACACTAAATCTCCCGATGGCCTCCTTACATGCCACAGCCTTCTGGTCAAGAAATGCCGGGCTTAGGGATTATAGAAATTGTACATAGGGTTTTCATCCCAATAACGCTTTGACCGAAAGTTTTGGCCGAGTTTACGTTTTGGCACCTAGGTTCACACTTTTGGGGGTGGGGGGGGGGGGGTGGGGGCGTGGGTGGAGGGGCACAGGAAGGACCGAGTGGGAACAACGCAGGCCAAAAGACAACCATGACCAAACTGTGCACTGTGCCTGTGCAGCGCGCGACTCCCAGGAGAAGAGACTCGAACAACCACGCAATGAAAAACAAAAACAAAAAGCAGTCCCGTCCCAAACTGATATGGTTATAACTGGGTTATGAATACAGGTATTGCTGGGTTATTCAGTACCATGAACCTCCCAATATGGTCTAGGGTTATATGGTTTAGCGTTTTCGAGGGAGGCCGATCCTTTTAGGGCCTTTAGGGAGCCTTTTGAACATGAAGGTTTTTGATCTCCATCAGTTTACTTATAAACAAAATTGGAGCTGCCGGTGACGGGGCTTGGTGCCGCGCAAGCTTGTTTGGGCAACAAATTCAGGATGATGTCACAGACCGGGGCCAGCTTACCCCATTCTATTTGTTTTGCCTTGAGGGTTTAGGGCTTAGGGTATAGGCTTAGGGTCTCGAGCTTGACGGGGTAAGGCCGAAGCTGGCTGAGGGTTTGGCATTGTAGAGGCTTGTGAGATTCAAAACGGCCTACTCTCCCTAATTCTTTGATTAGAGCTTAGGGTATCTTGTGAGAAGTCACATACCGCCGATACCGACTACATGCAAATGTTCGTTGGTCTTCTAGAGCAGCGTGTAGACGGCCGTGCTGCCAGAGTAGGACTCAAACTCGCCACCTCATTGAAGCATCGATTGGCGGAGTTTGAGGCACCCAGCTAGCCAATCTTCGCACAGCGCTATTTAGGCGGAGGTTTCTGATGAACCTGTCGCAATTGACAATGCCACAACCAAACATCTCCAGACCCTCTGTGTGCTCCCGTGGCCGGAAACCCTTGACTAAACCCTAAACTCGAACCCAAAACCCAAAGTCCTCGGCCCGGAAGCTCCCAACGCTACACCCAAACCCGTAACTCCTAAAACTTCAACCCCTCATGCCCAAAGCCCGAAACCCTGAAGTTCAAAAACCGCGCAACCACGGATGAGGAAGACAAACTTCAAAGAACATGTGTTGATCAAAGCTCTGTCCCAGCCTTTGATCTAACATCGGTCAAGCCCACACCCATTATAAACCCAAAAAGCTAATCCAGAAAGCGCCGTGACCCTGCCGAGGCGGAGGCACCTGCTTCCGAGGAGCGCGTCCTTTGCGCACCGTCCGCAACCTTAGACCTTGCAAGCCCGAAGCCCTAAACTCTAAGGGAAGTTACTTTTGCGGTCAGGGTTTGGGGGTTTCAGTTCGGGGTTTCGGATTTCACGCAGCCTCGGCCCTGCACCCTAAACCTTAAACCCTATGACCTTCTAGGCGTCTAGAGGTTTAGGGGTTTTGGGTTCAGAGTTTAGAGCCCTTATACCTTGCACCATACCCCGTGGTTTTTACCCAAAACCTTACATCCCAAACCCTCCACTGTGGAAGCTTGGGGATTGTTTGAGCCAAGGAAACAGATGGATAGACAGGAACGTGCACAATGAGAGCCCCAGGGCTTAGGGTTTAGGGTTTAGGGTTTAGGGTTGTGAATAACCAGAAATTCTATGCATGTCGCTTCGAACCGGAGGTGACTCACAAATTGAGCATGTGGTCCTCTGTGCCTTCTTCGAGGATTTTCCACGGGTTTCTCTGAGGGTGGACACTTCAGGGATTCTCGGCGTGCGGGATGGTCTGGGGTGGGTACTCCAAGGATGCTTGGGTGTCTGTCTGCAGCTCCAGGGATCGACGACTCTGCGGGCTTCCAAGAGACCGGGCGGGACACTGGGCCCTACATAAGTTCTTTCAACTCTAACCTTACTAGCAAATATTAATTCAGGCTTTGCTATCCACAAGCTGAGGATGTAGGGCTCCAGAACCTTCTGTGGACGGAAACCCGTAACCCTAACGCCTCAGGCGGCATCTACGTTCCATGATGTTTACAGCCACATAAAAGCCCCACATGTCGTGGTCCTGCGCGATAAACAACGTGCAGCCGCGACCGAAGCGATACAGCCTGTACATGCCCCTTTCCAGACCTGAGTCGCGGGCCATGTAAACGCCTTGTACTCTGGCATCTCTCTTGAACTTGCAACAGCATGGCGTAAAGCGCCACAAGGTCACGTGAAGATGGCATCTCCTTGCAGGGCTTGCAGCATTGCAGGCATGCTTCCTGCCACGTGGCTGGCAACCAACACGCTTTCCTGCTGGCAGGACTTTGTGGGACGACACGCAGAGCAGCCCGGCGAGCTGCAGTGGGGGCCGGGCTCCAAGCTCGGCATCCTCCGCATCGCGTGCTCGTGTGCACCTATCATGATGCTGCGTAGTCGGTTTATACGGGACCCTGTACACTAATATTTGTCAAAGGGGTTTGAAGGCCAACCCAGTTTATGACTGGGTACTCAAACAGCTCTAAATCCCGAAGCTCAGG